TGGCTGCAAATAAACATTTTAATATGTTTCATCATCGAATAAAAAAATCTAAATTAACTTAAGTTAATATATACTAAAATATAATATACTTTATGAACCAAAAACGTATATCATAAGTATATTTTATATCAATGTGATAGTTTCAGCAGGTAAATATAGTTAAAGCAAAGTTTTACCTTGACAGAGTCCAGATGAGAAACAGCATCGCAGAGTACTTCAGGCCCGCGAGCTCCTGCTGCTCTTGCCAGTGCAAGGCAAAGTTTCTTGCAGGAAGCCGCTCCTTCTTCGTTGCAAGGAACTTTTACTCCTGGTGATTGGGACAGAAGAGGTGATCTGTCTGCTTCGCCTTCGGGAGAATCGAAAGCTGCACATTGGCATAGTCCACTCTCGAAATCATCCAAGGAGTGGCTACCTTGACCACTAAATGGAAAAAGTAATAAATAAGAGTTAAAATTATAAATGGTAGATCATTATAATTCATAAAAAGAATCCGGAAAATCTATGAAATACAACATTTACTATTATACATAATTATTTATTGATCATGATAATATATAAATTGAGAAATGCATAGTTGAGTCATATACAAATAATGAAAATAAATTACTTAAATAATGAATTCTTACCTTAGAATGAGCAGAATGGATATGGTAAATATCAAATCCAGATACTTCATCTTGAACACAAACGTAGAACTTCCAGTCCAAAAAATATGTTTGAATGACTTCCAACCGAAGACAAAATCAGATATGAAGATATTGGCCTGCACGTGCGGTTTATATACCCTTTCTTGCTGCTCCTCTCTGAAAACAAATACTGTTGCATTGTGTATTCAGGGACTGTGAACTGAAACTGGTGAATTTTGAACATTTTTTGACAAAACTAAAGAAATATAAATTATTGAGCAAAATTTATGATATGCCGATGATACTAAAAGATAGTAAATATTAGTGATCAAATGGATGAAAATAGTTATTTAAATAAAAAAATTATTTTAATGGTAACTGAACGTATTTTTTATTTTTTAAGGGGTTACATGGGTTTCACTGTTTCAAAAAATCAAAAAAAAAATCTGTTTTATTAAATTCTATAACATCTCTAGAATATTGTCCTAAATTTTTAAGTTGATTCGACTAATAGTTTCGGAGATACAGCTTTGAAAAAGTGGACGCTTGATCCACTCCATCTTTATTGTTTCTTTAAACGCGATTTTCTCAAAACTATGTTTTCAAAGACGGTTGTCAGGATTTCTTAGGAACTACTCAACTGATCTTGATGAAACTTTACACAGGTCTTCGAGATATTGTTTACAAGGTATTGAACGAAGGATTTTCTTTTTGTTTAATTACAACTATTTAAAAAAAAAAGAATGTCGAGAAATTTTAATCGGAACTTGCATTTTTTTTACAAAAACGTCTGCCAAAAATCCAATTTTCATTTTTTTCTTTTTTTTTCGTCCAATACCTAGTTTATTGTTTTTACTAAAACACGTATTTTTTATTTTTATTTCGGATGATCATGAAAGAAGTTCTGCTGACAAAGCGAAGGCACCTTTCTTTCCGAGGGACTTCCGGAAATGGCGTCGTAATGACCGCGATTTTGATATTTTTTTTGAAAATTTTACAAAATGTTTATTAAATATGTATTTTTTAAATAAAAAAAAATATTAAAATATTTCATTTTTTATATGTAAAAAACATAATTGAAAAAATGCCGTTTTTTTGCCAGAAGAAACCCATGTAACCCCTTAAATCAGGACAGTAACTAATCCATGATAGTGGGGGTTGTATTTATGCTGAATAAGTTATAATATGATTTAAATTAACAATAATTAATCAATCCCTTTATATTTTTCAGATATGTTTTTTTTTCGCTAAAGCCTTGTATAAAATTCTGTGCTTCATTACTTTAATAAAAAATATCGTTTAATAGAGTGTGCAGATTTCATTCGAGTCTTGTTATTTGTCTAACGAACTTAGGCAGTCAGAAAGTTCGTTTTCGCAATTTTTTGGTAATTTTTGTATATTTGAATATGAAAGTTCAAAAATTAAATTTCGAATTGAAATCGGTTTTTAAATCGATAATTATTACTATAGATGAAAAGTCGCAATAGTTTAATGTGTTTTGTTTTAATACAAGTTTTTTTATTTATAGATTTATTTATTTCTCTTTCAATTTGTATTTTTAAATTCGACATAATGTTGCCAATACCCTTAATTTTTGCACACAGCCCCTTCAAAATTTTCCGATGTACTTTTGAACCCAAAATGTTTTCGCTAACACAAGACAAAATATACATATCAGTCGGTGCCGGAAATTGATATTCGAGGAAATTTGATAATTGTTTGTCTTAAAGACATGCAGTCTTGTAGAATAATCATCGCATGCCATTGTTTGTGATGGCTATTATACATCCTCGAACAAAGATGTTTTTAAACATATTTGATTACAATTTGATACGAACATGGTTTTCAAATACCGATGCATGATATGGATTGCAAAACAACAAAAATTATATACAACATATGTGTGCGTATTTGTTCAGCTTCTAATAAAGAATCCAAAATCCAAAAAGTTGAACCTAATCCAAATGCACAAAAATCCCAAAAAGTTTTTTAAAAACTTATTTTCATTGCCGATGTTTCGGAACTACGAAAGTTCCATCTTCAAGAGAAACTGGCAAGGCATGATCTTTCTTAGATAGCAAACAAAACAAATTTACCTAATAAAAATTATAAATATGTAAATATATTTATTCATCATTTTAAATATTGAAAAAAAAATAGTGAAAAGAAATCTCACTGAAGAAGACTTACATTCATTATTGTATATTTACACTCTTTGTAGTAGATTTACATTCTTTTTGAAACAGATTTACACTCTTGTAGTAAATTTATACTTTTGATTGTAGATAACAATAAATTTATACTCATTTACTCAATCCATAAGTTCACCCATTCTCTATAATTTTATCCTTACATCAGAAGAGGTCTTTTTAATAGTATATACATGAAGAGAAATGCACGTCCTACTCATGAAAAATTAATCTATTGTAGTTGAAATCACATATAATTCAAAAAATCACGTTTTGTAAAACGTATAATAATTGATAAATAAGAAAAATTAATGTATGCATTAATTTTTTCTTATTTATCAATTATTGATACATTGATTATTTTACTGAAGTCCTTCCAATGCCATATAAAAATGGTTAAAATATGCTGAATTTTATAAATTACTTATAATTCAAAATCCTTTTCAAAAATGTCCTGGTGGTGGTCCTGGTCATGTAATGGTTGACCGAAAAAGCTTTGATAATGACTCATTCTTTCATAAATTGCTAAAAAACAGCTTTTATGTAAGAACAGAACCAGCCCAAAAGTCCTTGTGCCATAAGAGGATATCATTGTTTATGATATATTTTATTAGCTCAGTATAAAGCCCTTTGAAATGACATATATTTTTCCTAAATGATTTATGTAAAAATCATTCAGATAAAATGTCTGGTCTAGGCTATAATCATCTTAAAAAATATAATTTTTCGATTATGATAATTTACAAACTAAATTATATAATACAGAAAAGTTTTGTATGAACAAATGAATAATTTTTAGCACTAATAGCAATAGTAAGAACCAAATCGAATATAGCTGGTTTTATCTGATAAATATTTAATATTGCTTCAGAACCTTCGTATAATATGAATTCCTAATTCTTTTTACATTGTGTTAATACTGTATCTTTGACATCTTTCAAATATTTACTCATTCCTTCGTTTAAAACAAGGGCATTATTTTTATCACAGGGCAACTAGGCAGATCTTGGTTGATTGCCCATGTATTTCATCCAAAATTTCAAAGAATCCTTTTCTACCTTCAATGAATTACTAAAATTTTGACATGAAGAAATATTATATATCTGACTCACTAATGCATTCAAAATTATTTGAGTATGTAATGCTACTTCACATATAGATATAGTGTCATCTGTACGATCCAATAGTTTTATCGTTTTGGATTCTTATAATTTTTTATTGTTGATAAAGTAAAAGCAGGTCTTCTCCAAATACTGTATCGGTCATGTTTCAACAAATCATCTGCAAGATTTATTTTCTTATGTATACCTTCAATTGTCACCTGATTCATTGTCTGATATTTGCCAGCAGCCAGTTTGAGTTTTTTATAAAAAAAATTTGATGGTGTATTTTTTTCGGTGCTTTTAATGCATGTATATAAAATGATATTTAGTCTCCTGAAGCTATATTATATAAACACATCTTGCTGTCTTTGGATACAGCAATTATATTTTAGATCACTTGGGAAAAATTTTACCCTCGGCATCAGTGATGTCAAGTTTTATAATGCGGAATTAATATTCATTTATACACCCACTAGGGTTGACCTTGCATTATCCAAAGTTAGCTCAGTAAGACTATTCTTTTATTAAAGAATAAACAACTTTTTTTCTAGAAATTTAACAAGTGACATTAAGCTTTTATAAATATATTGAGAAGAAAATTGTTTTAAAGAAATAACTATTCTGGTATGGTCAACTCATAATGCTATAAAATTATATGCAAATATGTGAGCACATAATATAGATTATGTAAGCAAAATAATGGCATAATAGAAATATTCAGATGCGCTTTTTTATATTGAATCATTCATAAATCTTACATGAACTTTTATTTTTAACAAAATGCAGTCATACATATTATCTATGAGATATTTTGCTAATAAATTTAACAACATATACAAACAATATGATTTTAATGAAAATGGATCTTATTCAAATGTTATATTACCATTTTATAATGAAAAATATAAAAATATTGATTCAAATTCAATATTCAAATAAAATAATAATACATCAAGATATTTACATAATTGAATATAAAAAAATATGCATCACAATATTTTTTCAAAATACAGACACGAAATATTTGTTTAAAAAACTTAGAAATACATATATGTGTATAACAATTTATAAAAAATATTGGCATCTAAAAATTTGATTAAAACTTGTATAAAAATATGTTCTATATGTTATTTAAACATGGTGTGAGAGCTTGAATGAGCAAAAAATCAATCATATTATATTGAAATTTTAACTTTAAGTTTCCATAAGATTATTATTTATCTTCTCTAAGGCATAACGTAGATTTTGTGCGAGACCCATTGAGCAACCATATTTTTCTATTGTTGCAAATGGAAATGTTCTGAAGTTTTTCTCTTGATCAATATATGTTACAGCAGCCATTAATGGGCACATTATGATTTTAGTGTGATCCAGGAAATTGATCTATTAAACAGAAATAGAATTACTATTTAATATAGTTCCTAATGGAATATAGCACTTATCAAGCTTTTGTTTCAAGAGTTTTCTTAACTATATATAATACATAATTTTGAATAACTCAATCACATTTCATTTATTAAAATACAAGATGTATTAAAAAAATAAAAGAAAATTTTTAAAAACACCAAAATTATAGCACTTGGTGAAAAGCATTTTTGTTTTAAAAATATGTTTATAGAAAATGAATACCTGAACTGTGCCATTTGTTAAATGCATTATAACACCAGAATTTGTCCTAAACCATTGGTGTAAATGTGGAATTCTAGACAATGAATCACATTCCCGCACTGGTACAGAAGCACCAGCTTTCATAAGATGCTCCGACATATATCTTCGAAAGTATGTAAGTAATTTCATCTTCTTTTCAAGAACTGCTGGGTAACTGTCCATCGTCATGTATGATTCTGTTCCATCTTTTGCAATATAATGCACATTCCTTAAAAATTAAGTCAACATGATTTAATTAGAAAAAATAATTCAAACGCCATATTATTGCCAGAATAGTTTAACAAAATTCTGTTAAGAAATAACATCAAAGAATATGATATTATGTTATCTATTCTCCAGATTTATTGTATGCCATTCAATCAACACAAATCAGTCATAGAGTATTAAGAGTAAAAGTACCCAAGATTTTCAAGGTACCCAAATTATGCAAAACAATTTAAAATCAAATTGTATATACAAATTAATTCTACTTGTACACTTTTCAAACTTACACAGCATTTGCAAGCATAATAAGTTTTGTAGTATCATTGAACATTACTCCAACTCCTTCATCGCAAAGCTGATAACCAAATCCATATTTGTCACTGTAATCTACCCACTTAGAAACCCAGACCAACGGTTGTGATGCAGGATCAGACATTTCATCTCCAAAGTTACCATGCACGCGGCCAGGCTAAAATTAATTTTAATCATTGATACCAAAGAATAATATTTTGTTGAATAATTAGAAGGTAAAACAGAATTGTTATTATAATAGTATAAAAGATATATCATATCAAATTATTCATAAGTTAACATATTAAAACTGACCTTAGTTTTTAGCAGTTGAATCAATTGGTCTCTAAGGTTTACAATATTTTGTTTATATTCTTCAACTCCTCTTATTGGATTTAAACGGCAACCAGCTGCAATTGTTTCCATTGCATATTTTTTGGGACTATCAACCATCATAATAGAATCGTTACCTGGAAAAATATTATTAGCCTTACACATTCACAATAAATTAGTTATGTTCTATTAGAAAATTATTGAAAATAATTTATATGGATTAATATTGTTTGCCACACCCTACAAATATAGCCCAGTTTTGATTTAAAATTGAAAAAAAAAGTAGCTGGTATGATCAGTAAGAAATTTAAAAACATTACATTATTACCTCTATTAATTTCATGAAGAGGCTTGCGATCTGTATTAGAGTATTCAACTTGGTCAAACCTAGGTGCCATTGTTAAACAAGAAGATGGCAACTGCTTAGGCATGTAACCAGCGTTGAAAAACTCATGCTTAAGAAGTTGATCTACAGATGGTCTAGATTGGGGATCGGACTGTAACATTTCAATGATCATGCTTGCAGATTGTTTATGAAGTGTCGTAGGTAATCTAGGAAAAAACAAAAAAAAAAATAAACATATTGTATAAATATATCCATATTTATATTAATAATATATTCTTAAGAAAAATTAAAATAACCTATATTTACCTATAATCACATTTCTTTATTCTGGTATAAGTTTCCTTTAAAGTTGAAGTTTCAAATGGAGGTTTACCAATTAATAATGTGTACATAATACAACCTGTTGACCAAATATCAACTTCAAATGAATGGCCCTTTTTATTTAAAATTTCTGGAGCTATATAGTTTGGCGTTCCGCATAAGGTTTTCTTCCTCTCACCTATAATTATTACACACAAAATTAAATGATTGAGATATATTAAATCAAGTTTATTTTTATATATAAAGCAAACATATTTACAGGTTTTTAAGTAATAAATAACATATTAGATGATTCAATTTCATTAAGTTGCACATTATACAAATTATACAGACCTTCATATTCTATTCTCGCAGCTAAGCCAAAATCACCAAGTTTAACATTTAAATTATCATTCAAGAACAAGTTTCCAAGTTTTAGATCACGATGAATGATTTTCTTATGATGCAAATATTGCACGCCTAATAAAATTTGATGCATATAAAATCTTGTCTCAGGCTCAGTTATAGCTTTTCTTCTTTTGTGTAACTCCATCATTGACTATAGCATATTAAAAACTTATAAATATTCTAAAACTAAATATAAAAAAATCATACAACTTACCCGCTTTTTACACAGTTCTAATATTATATAAATGTTAAAATTATCTTCAAAAAATCCATGAAATCCAACAATATGTTTGTGGTTCAGAGAGCGATGTATAGCAATTTCTTGTGTCATTTTTTCTCTTTGATTATCTTTCAACATTAATTTTTTGGATACGATTTTGCCAGCCCATACTTCTTTCGTTTTACAATCAATAATCTCGTAACACTTAGCAAAACCACCCTATTTGAAAAACATAGTAAAAATATTTGTAACAACAAAAGCACAAAACAAGTATTTTACAACATTGATAACTAGTACGAGACTACAATGGCTACAACTGAAAAAATGTTTGAGAGGAAGGAATATAAGGATAAGGATTTCATGCCAATCAAAAATATTAGGTTATGACAAATGTGAATTTCAATCGTCATATTAGGTTATTTTTGTTCATCAAGTTTACGAAAAAAAGGAATAATGCATTCAATACTTTTTATAAAAATGAAATATCTAAATATAAAACTTAATTGGAAAAACTTATTTATTTCAATTCACACATATTTACCTTTCCAAAAAATCTGTGTCTTTTATAACTTTGCTTAGTATTAGCATCGTATATAATTTCAGGAATTTCTTCCGACTTATGCTCCGTTTTACCACTCATCTTATTTAATACAAATAATTATAAAAACTAGTAACAAACATCAACTGAATACCATAAAACATAAAATCGTTGACAAACCGAAATAAATGGCTGTTACACAGATGTTATTTGAAATTCTATCCACAGAGACAGTTCACGCACCCAACAAGATGCTCGACTGTATAAAATTATTTGGTATTTAATTACTAATAACGAATATGTCATTCAAAACTATGCACACTTGTTTGTCAAAAAGGTAAACCAATATTGAGTTCCTTTGTTTTATGGTATAAAATGCAGTTAAAAGGAAAATAAAACTAACAATGAACGATACTGAATCTGTGCCATCTGTGCTAGATCACCCGCCTGCGCGAAAAAGTTATGCATTCCTTTGCATTCTGGGAGATCGACAAATGTCAAATGAGACATCGGTGATTGGTCGAATTTGAAGGAATGGCGCACAGACAGGTGTTTTGACGCCAACAATAGGTTATGTCGTTTTCTATATGGAAGTAATATTTACTTAAATAAATTCGCAAATTATTTGTTATTAAATAATGGCTGGAAATTTTTGGCAAAGTTCGCATCATCAGCAATGGATTTTAGATAAACAAGATTTAATACGTGAACGACAGCATGACTTATCTATTTTGTCAGAAGAGGAATACCAAAAAATCTTTATTTTCTTCTCAAATTTAATTCAGATTTTAGGTGAACAGCTTAAGCTTCGACAACAAGTTATAGCAACAGCAACAGTTTACTTTAAGCGATTTTACGCTAGAAATTCTTTAAAGTGTATAGATCCTTTGCTCTTAGCACCAACTTGTATATTTCTCTCTTCTAAAGTTGAAGAATTTGGAGTAATATCTAATTCACGTTTAATCACCACTTGTCAAACTGTGATAAAGAATAAATTTAGTTATGCGTATGGACAGCAGGAATTCCCATATAGAACTAATCATATTTTAGAATGTGAATTTTATTTACTTGAAAACTTGGACTGTTGTTTAATTGTGTATCAGCCTTACCGACCATTATTACAAATGGTGCAAGACATGGGCCATGAAGAGCAATTATTGACATTAGCATGGAGAATTGTTAATGACTCACTAAGAACAGATGTTAGCTTGCTATACCCTCCTTACCAGGTAATTTGAACAAAGATCAGAAATTCGATCAATATAAAACATTAATAAATTTGAATGATTTAATTTATAATATATAAGTATATATATATATATATATATATATATATATATATATTTATTCTTAGATTGCTATTGGATGCTTGCAAATTGCATGTGTAATACTTCAGAAAGAAATGAAGAGCTGGTTTGCTGAACTCAATGTTGATATGGAGAAGGTACATAGCTCGATTATATTAAAGAATAATGTTTAACTGTTGTTAACAAAAATAATTTGCCCTCAGATTCAAGAAATTGCTAAAACTGTGATAAACCTATTTGAATTATGGAAGGGCTTTGATGAAAAAAAAGAAATTCAAGCATTGTTAGGAAAAATGCCAAAGCCAAAACCATCTCCACAGCGATAATATTTTAACTGTAGTGATTTTAGTATGAAATATTTTATATGTTTTTACTCTCAAATAAAGTATTGCATTTTGATATCCACTTTTATTATTTTTATCAAACAATATTTAGTAAATTTGCATTATATTAACAAAGAATGTAACCAAACTTTAAAATATTTTATTTTTTCAATCTAAAAAAGGAAAACAATATTTTCAAAATAAATAAATCACACTTTTATTTAAAAAAAATAAAGGGTATTAGTGTTCTACAGTTAAAGAATTTTTTATCACGCCTAGCAGCCTTTTATAAAGGAACGATTGTCTGGAAGTTGGTTTACATATATCTAAATGATTACTTGGAGCTGTATAAAAATCTCCTATTCCCGGATCAGCACTTTGTGGAGCTACAAATACTAAAGGAACCTTAAGAGCTGTTAATAATGTTGGTTTTCCTTCACATACGGTAACCACTTCTACTTTGTGATCATCCAATATTTCAAGAAATTTGTGATGTAACTCTCTTAGTTTAGGCGATTTCTCTCTCAACTCTTTCACTTCAATAGATGGCCATAATAGTGCTGCTGTTGGAGCAGGCAATGCTGCTATACTAGATCCATCATGTGGGGTGCCAAGAAATGCTATTCCAGATGTACTTTTATACAAAGATCTTAACATTTCATTCTGGCTTTCAAATGATTGAACTAACATAGATTTTACTAGTAAACCACCCATAGAATGAGCAACCCAAACTACTTTCCGACCATCCATACCGACTCCTGCTTGAACTAGTCTATGCATTAGATCATGAGCTCTCCCTTCAAGTGTCGACCCCATAGAACTATAGCAATTGCAAGATGTAGTTGTCCAAAGGGAAAGGGAGGTATCATAATTGACACCTAAAATTCGAATGTTTTCAAAATCTTTTGGTAGCCAATCCATTGGCCAACAGAATGAATAGGGTTCATTAGGAAAGTTGAGTTCTTGCTTTGGTGGAGGTACTGTAACCTTTCTCATTTGAGAATCATCACAAATTCCACCACAGGTCATACTTTCCACAAGACCCAGAGCTTCATCTTTGATATCACGTTGACGCCATGTGATAAATACACCACCTAGAAGACCATGAACAAAAATAACATCTAACTTTGGTTTTCTCGTACATCTTTTTACGGGATATAATGGAAATACTCTAGCTGGATATGTGTAATCACCTACTAAATCATCCTCGTCAAAATTAATTAGAGCTCTAGATGCACAAACTCTTAATCGTACATCTTCATCAATAGACCATTGATGCAGAATACCAATCCACCCAGAACTGTACACCAAACTTAAAGAATTTCCATAAATAGCAATATTTGACAATATTTCAGCAATATTTGATTTAATTTCTGTGTTTGATTTACTATGTCGTGCTACATCTATTAACAATTGTAAGGCTCCATTTTCTACCAATTCTTTTGCTTTTCCTGGTCTAACAGAAAGATGCACCAGGGCGTCAACACATAATTTCATTGCATCTTGCACATGACTGAACAGTGGAGTTCCTGGAACATACTCTATGCTATTGTCATAAGAATCTCCAAACTCATGGAAATCATGAAACATTTTATTCAAAAATGATTGCATACATGGATGTGGGCCTAATGCTATGAGCAACAGTCTCAATTCCTGTATCAACTTTTTAGGTTCTAAAGTTTTATAACGAAATGGTGGATCTAAAAACCATCGAAAATCACAAGATGTAGAGCGTGCTAATCCAACTGCAGTTAGTGCATCACATTGTTGAGCTAAAGATCTATAGTCCCAATCTTGCAAATAAGTCATTTTTGATAACAACCGGATAGCACGAATTCTATCATATTTTGTACCACTATGTGCTAAGTGGATCAGGCGTAAAGCATAATTATTTTTAATATTTTTCCACCACTTAGTAAATGATGGCATTTCAAAGCCATTTTTTTTAAGTCCTGGCTCTTGAGTAAACTCATCACCCTCGCCATATATTTCAATCAAATGTTCTTTTAAATTAGGATCATTAATAAATATATAATCAGCACGTTTTCTTTCGCACTCTAAAACATTAGTTCTTAGCAGAGAGTTTAATTTTTTTCTAGTTCTATAAGTCTCGAAGAGAAGTAAAGAGGCACTAGTGGTGGATAAAATAATTGCTGAGTATTTTAGAATTTTAAAATGATAGATTGACAGCATTATTTTCATCAAAAGGTAAATTATATGGACTCTAGAAATAGATTTACAGACATCAGTAAACAAATACATAAGTGTAGTTTAAAAAAGTGAGGGCGTCTCCATTTTATTAATATAGTATATTTTCGTCTTATATTATTTGATAAAGTTAGGTTATGATACAAATCATAAGGACGAAATAGAAGACACTGAAAAACTACTCACAAGAATCATGTATAAAAATGTTTGTTTACATATCTTTTTTGCATTATTCCAAAAGGTATGATTAAAGCAATTAGTCAAATCTTTAACAGTATACATGGTAAACATTTTTTTTGTATTTTCACATTTTGACATTAATTCGCGCTTCACATATTAGTAGCATATTATTATTAGTCCGGGAGGTATAGGCATAATATTTTTGAACACAGTGAATTTATTCGAGCGGTTTAACAGTTATAAAAAGCTATTATATTTGCGTCATTTGTAACTATTATTTGCTATAATAAAAAAATCTTTATCAATATAAACTTAAATAACATTTTTCGACGAAACTTCAAGCCAAGAATTATATAATTTTATTTTTACCGAGCTTATCCACAAGTGTTCCACTAATTTTCAAATCTCCAACACAAATTATGGAAAAATTTACTCCATAATAAGTTGAGAAAATTTCAAAATTTAGAGTTTTGTTTAAATTTAAGTTTATTTTAGTTTGTTCGTTCAAAAAGCAAGAACAAAAGTAAAATTTGAACGCGGATGCAACGATTCAAATAATACCAAAATTTTTCTTATATCTACTTCAAATTCAAAACTTAAAAAATTAAATAAAACATTTTTCATTTACCAATTCCCGGTAAACACATATGATGTCCATGGCAGAAGACGTGAAAAACTTTGATTTGAAAAATTGAGCAATACAGTCAACTAATTTTATTTAAAATTTTTGACTGAAAGCATAATTTTTGTCACGTTATTGTTATTGATCACATAATATAACTTTTAATTTACCTTAATGCATTACATGCATGAAAATATATCACACACAAATTACATACAGTGGTGAACGTCATTCCGGCAAATCATTTTTGGGCCGGAACGCGTTCCGGCAAGAATTTTTTTTTTTAAATCGCTCCATACAGTAAATGATTTAATAAGTGAATTTTATAAATTATAATTCAACTAATTTTTATTAAATGTTCATATTATTGTAATAAACATTCATATATGTACACAAAATGGGTTTTGTAATAATTTTTGTTTCTTTCCTTTTCGAACGGAACCGGAACAAACATGAGAAAAAATATTAGCACAACACCACTGATTACATACATATATATATATACTAGCTGACCCGGCAAACGTTGTTTTGCTAAATAAGGTATATTCTAGACAATTTCTAGAGAATCAAAAATATTAATACTTTAAGTGTATAAGCATGTGTTGTTTGAATGCTATATACAATGAAGTATTATAAAAACAATAAACCCCATTGGTTCCGGATAATCCGAAGTCCGGATAATCCGAAGTCCGGATAATACGAAGTCCGGATAATC